TACACCAATTACAATTGTCGATCCTCTCTCAAATATTATACCTTACAGTTATATATTGTAAGTTAAACTTATTCCGTACTTTATTTGACAAATAAATATTTGACATTTTATCTATCGGTAAGTTTATTCGGAGTCGGTCAGATAGCTCAGCGGGCTGTGCGGCTGCCTCTCATTCGCTTCACTGTCGAATGGTTCAGTGGATGTGGGTCGAGCCCCAGCTCGGTGTACAGAAAACAAAAAGTCTAACGCAGCAGTTTAAAATTCTAGATGAATCTGCGGCTTAGACTAGGATATGCTGGGATCTGATCGGCCTATGGTGGAGCAGTACGGCAAGAGATAAGGGCTTGCGGCTCGGTGATACTCCTCCATAGATCCCTACCGGACGGGCGTAACGCCTAAAAAAACCGGATATATATATATATATATATATATATATATATATATATACAGGGTGGTGAATCGTCAAACGGGCCATAGGAAACTCAATGGGAAATTCTAAATTGTTGAATTCCTGCTTCCCAAATTATTTTACACCAAAAGTCATGGGAAACTATTTGTAGAGGACTCAAATATGTATCGAAAACAACTGTTAAAATTATTCTACGACTTTAACGTATTCCAAAATTTTGCTAAAATATAATACATTTTTCTGTGAAAAAATGTGTATTATGTGTTGCGTTTTGTCATATTATTGTTTCTGATATTTGACAATATTTAAATCAATTATATTACATTTATCTATGATTTAAATGGCCAAAATTTTGTGATATATTGTTAAAAAAAATAAGTTGATTAAAAAATGTACTCAGTTGAGGAGAAAAAAGCAATAATAAAAATGTTTTATTCATGTTTTATTATAACATTTGTTATAGTTTTATGTTTAGAAATTATCATATATTATTATTAGGAATAAAGATCACAGTAACAGTATATTGGAATTCATTACATTGTTGTATAACTTAACATGGAATTAAATTTTAGTGAATTAGAATATCTTACGTTAAATAAATATCCGGTAGTGGCAGAAAAAGGTTCGCGCTATTGCCTGTATACAACATTATGCGATTTTTCGTCAACTGAGTACATTTCATTATATTGATCGATTTGTAAACAATATAATTTATTGTTCACAAAGTAATAATGTGTAAATTAGTACTTGTGTTTGTATACCGTGAGTAGTAGTATTTAGTAAAATTCATTGTTTATAATTTAATCATAAAATAAAAAAATTGACAATTCAAATTGTCAAACATCTGACATTAATATGATAAAACACAGACGTCCTAATATATATTCTTGCATTACGTGTGGCCTAACTGGGCCTGAAAAATGTACTATATTTTTGCAAAATTTTGAAGTACATTTGATTCGTAGAACGGTTTTAACATTTGCTTTTAATTCAGATTTTAGTCCTCTACAAAAAGTTTTTTATGACTTTTGATCTAAAATAATTAGGGAAGCAGCAATTCAACAATTTAAAATTTCCCATTGAGTTTCCTATGGACCGTTTGACGATTCACCACCCGGTATATATATATACCGGGTGGTGAATCGGTATATACACTTCATCTAATTTATATAACGATGCACGTCATCGGCGTCATAGCCTGTGACGTCATATGATACCAACACGCAATATTTAGGGTTTAGGTGTGTTCTTTTTAGAATCACTTTACCGAGTACACTGGCATTACAGCCACTAGACATATTTTATTATATACGCGTAGAAATAATATTTAAAAATTTCTATTAATGTTAACTTAAAGAAATACACAATAAAATGTTTCATTTAATTTGTATAAATCCATTATAAAGAGTTTTTATCAAGAACATTTGTTCGGAACACACTGTAACTGTAATCGAACGAAGGTAAAATCTTGGCATAAATTGGTAACACTTATTTGACAGTTGCGGTGTTGACACTTTTTGTACTTTATTATTTTAAATTTTAAAGTGAATACCTCTTGTTTTATATTTTTACCTATTTAATAAAATCTGTTCTTTTTAGAACAAGATTAGTGTGTTTTATTTCAAAAATGTCGCGTAAGAATTTAAATAGTCGTTGTAAAGAGATGATAATACTTTTGCAATAATTATGTGACCTATTTGATTTAAAATGGAGTCAGGATTTTTTTATACTTTGGCAACTATGTCAACTTCGATCTCTGACGTAGATAATGACGTAAGTCGTTATCTAAATTAGATGAAGTATATATATACCGAATTGGAATATAAGTTTATTCGGAACTAAAAGGCTACCTTTTCATCTGCCAGATAAATACTTAATCGGAGGTAAAGAAACTTTCCTTATCATAGCGACGATCTTATTATATTTAATACAACATGATTGGTGACTTCACTCCATGTTCATATCTGTCAAGTGTGACGTCACGGCACAATCTGCGAAGTCCTCCTTTTAGGCGCTCCCACAGCCACCTTTACTTAGGAAGTAAAGGTGGCTGTGGCGCTCCTCATTTGTATCCATTCCTGAATGTGTCCTGAATGTGTCAATGAGGTTTATGTGTATTGTTGGTTGCGAACATTTTTTTTATAAATTAATATAATTATTACTTCAATCCATCCCTTTAACCCTAATAATCTTTATGTATACAGATGTAAAAATAAGGGCAACGTTTTTGGGTAACATTTTTTCTTAATCATTCACCATTTCTGCACATTTCATATTTTTAACTAGTATCAGAGCTGTAGTAGTAGCAGTATTTCAAAATTTAAATACTTTGGAGTATTTAACTACTTGGTGTTTAAATAATTTGTTTTTGTTGCTTTTATTTATTTAAGATGAATCTATAATATCTGCCCATTTTATTACCCTAAAAATCTTACTGATTTTTAATTAGTTAAAAAATTTTTAAACTATACATATTTAAAAATGTTTAGTTGTAAACGAAATGTAATATATTAATGAAATTAATTAAAAAAGAATTGTATTGAAGTTTCAACTTCTAATTCAGTAATCGAAATACAATTAAATAAAAATTATTTTGTTTGGTTAATTTGCAATATAAAAAAAAATCTAACAATTTCATTTTATTTGTCTCATATATAATGACAATTTAGATATACATTATACATTTTAAAGTAAAGGACTATAAAATGATATTTTCAATATGTTTTACATTGTACAGTAACAAATCGATACTTTAAATCCATATGCTTCACTCTCTTGTTATTTCCCTGATTTTTTACAAGTAGTGCTAAACACCCTTGGTTATCTTCAAAAATCTTTATTTGTTTCACTTCAATATTTAAATCAATTCATAATTTTCTCTTGTTGATAAAGTTATACAGTTTTGTTTTCTTGTTACCCATGATACTACCACAGAAGTTGGGTTAGTATTCTGTGCTTGATATGTTGTTTATTGTTTATGTAGCTAGCTAGGTCCACAATACATACCCAATGGGGGGTATATACTATGGCTAGGTCATCGAGTAAAAAGACAAAAGAGGGAATCTAATCCGTATGAAAAGGAGACCAAAAAAGTGGCCTCTGATGGCGGACATATCCGGAAATGCGAATGCGCCAAATTTAAATTTTCAGACACTTATTAACAGTAGCTGTATAATATTTTTCAGAATGTGTCTTAGACGAGAAAGTTTTAATTAACTATTAACGATAATAGTCTAAAATGCGACACAATTGTTAAAAAACTTCAATATAAATAAGATTTCATGTTGGAATACATAAGTGGAATGAGAGAAGATCATTTATGCCCAAGCAAGGCACAATAGATTTACTTTGGTGAACGTCCTTTTAACCATATCTAAAAAATTTATTGTATTAGGATAATACATTAAATTAGAGGATAAATGATATATTACCTGGATGTTTTCTTTTTACATGTGCCGTTAAGTTTGAAGATTTCGAAAAGTTTATATAACACTTAGTACAACGTTTCATTTTCGACTTACACAAAAAACATAAGAGTTTAAATTGTAAATACAAAACTATATTTATAATATTTTCACAACGGTCAAAAACTACACTTAACAGTATTCACACCACCGCCACAGAATATTAGTTATACGCAAATATTCAAATTCAAACAGAATCAATAACCAAACATCCGACACAGTGTCTCAATTAAGATTGCGCGAAGCCGTGGATTTTATACCAAACTCTCGGTCTGTAGATCCTTGTCGAATTGGCGATAAGAAATGTGCAAAAGCCACCCCTATTAAAGCGGTATCACCGCAGAAAGGCCTTTTGGATTCCCTATTTCTGTAGACATCAAAGAGTTAAAACAATAAAACCTTGAGTCTGACCTAAAACAATATATTTTTTTTCGTGACCGATTGTTTGCTTGTTTTAAAACACTGAAAGCATCACTTGTCGAAGAAAATATTACTTTAATAATAAAGAAGTATTAAGTTTTAGCCCATATTCATCACATGCTTCGGTTACCCTGTTTATAAGTCGTCGCAGGTCTTCTTCATTAGAGGCAATAAGAAGTGTGTCGTCTGCATATCTCAGATTGTTGACATTAATTCCGTTGATTTTAATGCCTGTATCTTCAACTAAGGCTTCTTTGAAAATAAATTCGGGCTAGATATTAAAAAGTAGAGGCGATAGAATACATCCTTGCCTCACTCCACGTCATATTTCCACTGCTTCCGTCGAGTTGTTTCCAGCTCGTATGTTTGCACATTGACGTCAATACACCACTAGTTCAGAGGCACCTAATCCTGTGCATTGATCAAAATGGTGAACAATAACGTGGCGGCTATCACACGTGACGAACTTAGCAAGAGTACCTCCACACCTGGAGCACTTGCTAAAATTATCGAAAAGTAAGACGAAACGAGTAAGAGGAAGCTGTTTCAACAGCAAACGTGGCAAGTTGGCCATATTTTGTGGAAATTAATAAACTCTTGTATTTTTTATGGTTTAATTTAAAAATTGATCAGTCAAATGACCACTAATTACATAAATCAATTTTATCTTAGAACTAATATATATTTTAAATATTAATATCTAGTGTGCGTTGTCAAATGCTTCGATAAATTATTATTTTTAGTAACCTGCTTAAAATAAATTTAAGAATTTTCCTAGGTGTGTAATCCAATCACAACAGTATTTTCAAATTACTTGTTTGAATCATTTGCTTAAAACAAATTTAACACTTGTAAGGCTTTCCGCCAGTGTGTATTCTTAAATGATTTTTCAAATGATGGATTTGACTAAATTGCTTACAGTTTGCATAAAATTCTTTATTGAACATCAGCACAGTTATTAGCAAGATCTCCACAACTGGAGCACTTGCTAACCATATCGAAAGTTATATTAATATCTCGACTTTAACGATTAAAGATATACATTAAAATTTATCCTCAAGGGAAGTTGTTTCTACAGCAAACATGTCAAGTTGACCATTTTTAATGAAATTAAAAAACTGTTGTATTTTTATGGTTTATTTTAAAACTGGATCAATCGATTGACAACTAACAAGCTTAAAATAAATTTCACATTTCCAAGAATTTTCTCAAATGTATTTTGAGACATCTCAAAAAATGACATCTTACACTAAACTGCTTAAATAAATTTTACAATTATTAGCCTTTTTTCCAACGTGCATTCTTAAATACTGTTTCAAATTTCCTGATTCACTAAATAGCTTAGAAAATTTTCAGACTTAAGGCTTTTATCCAGTGTGTATTAAATGCTTTTTCAAAGATTCTGCTTGAGTAAATTGCGTAAAACAAATTTCGGACTTGTAAGGCTGTTTGCCAGTGTGTATCCTTAAATGTATTTTCAAATTTTCATCCCCACCAAATTGCTTAGAACAAACTTCTAACTTATGAGGCTTTTCGCCAGTGTGTATTCTTAAATGCATTTCCAAGTGTCCAGTTTGACTAAATTGCTTAGAACAAATTTCGCACTTGGTAAGGCTTTTCTCCAGTGTGTATCCTTAAATGCTTTTTTAAAGTTCCTGCTTCAGTAAATTGCTTAGAACAAATTTCACACTTGTAAGGACTTTCTGCAGTGTGTATTCTTAAATGCTTTTTTAAAGTTCCTGCTTCACTAAATCGCTTAAAACAAATTTCACACTTGTAAGGCCTTTCTCCAGTGTGTATCCTTAAATGCTTTTTTAAAGCTCCTGCTTCAGTAAATTGTTTAAAACAAATTTCGCACTTGTACGGCTTTTCTCCAGTGTGTATCATTAAATGTTTTTTTAAAGTTCCTGCTTCACTAAATCGCTTAAAACAAATTTCACACTTGTAAGGCTTTTCGCCAGTGTGTATCCTTAAATGCTTTTCCAAATGTCCAATTTGACCAAATTGCTTAGAACAAATTTCACACTTGTAAGGCCTTTCTCCAGTGTGTATCCTTAAATGCTTTTTTAAAGCTCCTGCTTCAGTAAATTGTTTAAAACAAATTTCGCACTTGTAGTGCTTTTCTCCAGTGTGTATCCTTAAATGCCTTTTTAAAGTTCCTGCTTCACTAAATTGCTTAAAACAAAGTTCGCACTTGTAAGGTGTTTCTCCAGTATGTATCCTTAAATGCTTTTCCAAATGTCCAATTTGACCAAATTGCTTAGAACAAATTTCACACTTGTAAGGACTTTCTGCAGTGTGTATTCTTAAATGCTTTTTTAAAGTTCCTGCTTCACTAAATCGCTTAAAACAAATTTCACACTTGTAAGGCCTTTCTCCAGTGTGTATCCTTAAATGCCTTTTTAAAGCTCCTGCTTCAGTAAATTGTTTAAAACAAATTTCGCACTTGTAGTGCTTTTCTCCAGTGTGTATCCTTAAATGCCTTTTTAAAGTTCCTGCTTCACTAAATTGCTTAAAACAAATTTCGCACTTGTAAGGTTTTTCTCCAGTATGTATCCTTAAATGCTTTTCCAAATTTCCAATGTGATCAAATTGCTTAGAACAAATTTCACACTTGTAAGGCCTTTCTCCAGTGTGTATTGTTCCTGCTTGCGTAAATTGCGTAAAACAAATTTCGCATTTGTAAGGCTTGTCGCCAGTGCATATCCTTAAATGCTTTTTCAAATGTTCATTTTGATTAAATTGCTTTGAACAGACTTCACACTCGTAAGTCATTCCAGGGTGCACTTTCAAATGCCTTTTTAAATATTTCAATGCTGTAAATTTCTTCACACATGTTTCACAATTGTACGAATTTTCCCGTGTATTCCCCAACGATCTTTCTAATTTTGTTTTAAACTCGTTCTGAGGTAAACCTAAAATAAAAATCACACTATAAATCTTTGCATGTAAAAAGGGAAGATCTAAAACTAAATTTAACAACTCTAGAATAAATAAACAAAATAAAAACAAAACTATGACAGAAGTTCAGGTGGATATCGAATTATATCATTTTATAGAAGGCGCTGTTAGTATTTTGTCGTCCACACTATTGGATGCTACCTCGTGAAACCTTTGTTTCGACGTATTTGTATACATTATCTATTCTAATGTGGGTTTGCTGTATCATTTTTTTGTGGTATTTATGATAACTCTGAGCTGATTCTGTTGTTTTATGCGGTACTTCAGTCCTCTTAGATCATGTCCATCCAAATTACATTTTGTCACGTATTTGCTGGGTATATTTTCTTTGCTGTATCATTTTTTTGTGGTATTTATGATAACTCTGAGCTGATTCTGTTTGTTTTATGCGGTACTTCAGTCCTCTTAGATCATGTCCATCCAAATTACATTTTGTCACGTATTTGCTGGGTATATTTTCTTGGTGACAGTTATATCAAGTTGGCCATATTTTGTGGAAATTAATAAATTGTTGTATTTTTTATGTTTTAATTTAAAAATTGATCAGTCAAATGACCACTAATTTCATAAATAAATTTTATCTTAAAACTAATTTATATTTTAAATATTAATCTCTTGTCAAATGTTGTCAAATGATTCGATAAATTATTATTTTCAGTAACCTGCTTAAAATAAATCTAAGAATTTTCTAAGTGTTTAATCCAATCACAGCAACTCTATTTTCAAATTACTTGTTTGAATCATTTGCTTACAACAAATTTCACACTTGATAAGGCTTTTCCCCAAATGACATTTTACACTAAACTACTTAAAACAAATTTAACACTTATTAGGCTTTCTTCCAGTGTGTATTCTTAAATGCTTTTTCAAAGTTCCTGCATCACTCATTTTCTTAAAACAAATTTCGCACTTGTAATGTTTTTCGCCAGTGTGTATCCTTAAATGCATTTTCAAACGTCCAACTTGACTAAATTGCTTAAAACAAATTTCACACTTGTAAGGCTTCTCGATAGTGTGTATTTTTAAATGATTTTTCAAATGATGGATTTGATTAAATTGCTTAAAACAAATCTCGCACTTGTAAGGCTTTTCTCCAGTGTGTATCCTTAAATGCTTTTTCAAATCTTGATCTCGAGTAAATTGCTTAGAACAAATTTCACACTTGTAAGGCTTTTCGCCAGTGTGTATTCTAAAATGATTTTTCATATGTTCAATTTGAATAAATTGTTTAAAACAAATATCGCACTTATAAGGCTTATCTCCAGTGTGTATCCTTAAATGCTTTTTCAAATTTCCATCTTGACTAAATTGCTTATAACAGATTTCACACTTGTAAGGCTTTTCGCCAGTGTGTATTCTCAAATGACATTTAAAATGTTCAATTTGACTAAATTGTTTTAAAACAAATTTCGCACTTATAAGGCTTTTCTCCAGCATGTATCTTTAAATGATTTTTCAAATTTTCAGTTTGTCTAAATTGCTTAGAACAGACTTCACACTTGTTACAAATGATGTTTCGAATTTCGTTTTTATCTCGTTCTGAGGAAAACCTAAAATAAAAATCACACTATAAATCTTTGCATGTAAAAAGGGAAGATCATAAACTCAATGTAACATCTCTAGAATAAATAAACAAAATGAAAACCAAACTATGACAGAAGTTCAGGTGGATATCGAATTATATCATTTTATAGAAAGCGGCGTTAGTATTTTGTCGTCCACACTATTGGATGCTACCTCGTGAAACCCTTGTTTGCACGTATTTGTATACATTATCTATTCTAATGTGGGTTTGCTGTATCATTTTTTTTGTGCTGCTTATGCATTCAAATTACATTTTGCCACGTATTTGCTAGGTATATTTTACGAGTTACGAAGTCGTCACATCAAAAGAATACATAAAATAGATGTGTCGAATAAGAAAATAAATTACATGGTTTGTCAGTTATGTAAGCAAGACTAATTTTAAAAGTCATGAGAAGTTAAGAAAACATCTTAAGGATCACCACCAGGTGAGTATTAAACTAATAATTTTTAAAACATATGTAGAAAACTGAGACAACCTATGCATAGTGTTGCCCACAATCGGTCTTGGTCTTGTTCCTGCGTTTTCGCCTAATGTAAGCAAGACCAAGACTGACCGTGCAAGAACAAGGCTAAGCCTCGAGACTCCTGCGTCTTGTATTGTATCATCATCATCATCAATAGTGCTACAGCCCTATGAAAAAGCCTCGACCTTCCCAAGTCTATTACGCCAGGCAGTCATATCCATTGCCAACCGTTGCAAGTTTGCTGCGCCTATATTTCTAATTTGTATTGTATTTAGTTTTTTATTTAAATAAATGTATATCTCTTTTATTCGATTTCATATAAGGTGAGGGTCCATCAATCCCTTTCTATACAGATAATAATCTTTAAAATATAGTCAAGTTTATGTCATTAATTTGGTTTTTTTGTGTCTTAAGCAGGTTTTAGCACATATAAGCTTATTAAATGCAAACCTTTATAAATAAACAGATTGACTCTCCTGGGACATGATAGATAGCTCAGTTAGAGCATAGGCAAGGATCGCTTAAATCGTGTAGGCAAGGATCGCTTAAATCGTGGGTTCAAATCCCACCCCGTGTCAGTTATTTAGACCTTTATTAATTTGGTTGGTCTTTATTATGGCTATATTAATTCAAGCGTAAAATGTCACGTTGTTCTAAAGTAACGTTTAGTAAATAGTAATAGGCTAATGGGTAACTGCGAGACTTGCAAGACTTCTGCTGCATGACCAAGACCGAGAGCGCAATACCAAGACCAAGAGCTGATGTTTTCTCGTAAGACCAAGACTGCCTAAGTCTCGTCTTGTTGTTGCATTTTGGCAACACTAGCTATGCGGCATAAAACAGTTCATACAAAGGAACATAAGACATTATACTATGATTGTAACATAATTAACATTGATGGTAGCTCCAATACTTTGTTACTTGCAATAATTAAAACATATACTTCTATCTTTAACACTTGCCCTATTAACATGTAAAGATCTCACAAATTTGTATACCTTTTCACAAGAAACGAGATCAAAATGATATTGTAGCAACAAAATTAAAGGTTCAGGAATGGAACGCTAACAAGAACTATGCTTCCTTATTCAAGAAGAAAGGTAAACACTTTTTATAACGATCACAATTATAATTAAAAGTTACTCCAATTTGCCTTGTGTAAATTGTTATCCTTGTGTGGCTCATACAACAAACTTTACTCTTAGCAGAATCAACATTCATTACTTACTATATAATATATGATAATCATTTTGAAATAAAATATCTACAAGTTTGTAGTTATTTGCTTTCTACATTTAAGTTAATTTTGACGTATCTTCATCTTGCCTCACTAGAGGTCTCTAGTTGCATACTCTGGTAGTTATTGTCATGTAATTGCCAGAGTAATCGGTGCGTTTTGATTTGGTTTGAGTCTTCTTACAAACTCCTTCTGATGACGGGTAGACCCAGAAACACGTGTCAGGGAGTGGTAAGAGACTCAAATTAAATCGAAACGCAACATTCTTCGTATATTTTTATTAAATATCAAAAATCAACACAAAGTTATTAAACAAAATTTATTACGTTGGAAACCGAATATATATATATATATATATATATATATATATATATATATATATATATATATATATATATATATATCATTGATGGTATACAAGGCAAATATCGAACACAGTAGTTAATTAAATCTTGCCCAAGTACTTTCGATCAATAGATCATCCTCAGGGGCATCTGAAATAAGCCAAGAAACGTTTTTTTTATAAAAAAGGAAAATTAATTCACTTCGATAAAAAACTCGAAGTTTATGGTTGAAAAAAGTTTTTATGTGATAAACGTTTATAGACTTACTTCGTCAGTTGTGGCCTATCCGACATGAGCAGAATCTCATACATGTAAATTTGGACATAACAGTACAATACATAAAGACAAACACTTTAAAATTTTAAAAAATGGAGAAGCTACATGTTATATAGAAGCCGGAGACAGAATGGCTCCCGGTCTGGCGGAAATATTGAGATGACATGTGACAAATGACAGCTTGTAAAGGGCAGTTACAATAGATATGTGATCTGCACCTTTCAAAATTCTATGAAACTAAGTATTCACCAAAGTTCCAACTGACACCACTATAGGAAATCAACTGATGAAATATAAAATTATATAGTATATTTTTTTATGTAGATTGAATAATCCAAATCTCACACTCAAACCTGTCTATAATAATTAGGATGTTAGTTTGAGAGCAATTGAAGTTGACATAAAGTATGAATGTAAGAAAAGACTAAACAATATATTAGACAGTGGATGGTTGACTACAATAAAATGATCCACCAAGTGCTATCAGTACTGTAAAAAAGGAAAAATCTGAATATGCAGTTAAATTACTAAAAGTTAAAATCAAAATTGAAAGCAAAATATATAAATAGGTTATAATCCAAGTAGTTCAGTTGAATCCACAGTCAATGGAAGAACTTTAAAATTAATATCGAAATGCTCAGTGCATGAAGTCTAAACAGTCAAGCTGTGTCCTCTACGAGGTGAAGCTGTAATAAAGTTTTTAAATATAGGATTAAATTTAGTACAATTTAAATTAATTTGAGTATTAAGACAGTGAGAGTTTTCATTTGTTTCCCTTGTAATCTCCAAATCTTCCAATAAATCCAACCCAAGATAGTTTTTCTTTCTACTAATGTCATGTAAGATAGATGAACCAGAATTGATGTTAAAATTGTGGTTGCTGGATACTAAGTTTGACCAAAACTTGAAGAGTTTGGTCTTTTCAAATATTCAGAGACTCTAGTGGATAAGTTTCTGATGGTTCTACCTACATAATAGGCATCACAATCATCACATTTTAATTTGTAAATACCACTTTTATCAAGTGTATTTATCATATCTTTGGTATTGATTAAGAAGGAACCTAAAGTGTTATGTGATTTAAAGGAAATTTTGATGTTATCAATTGTAGAAGTAAAAAGTTTAGATCAGTAATTAAAATTTCAACTTAGTACAAGAAACTAGAAGGTGACTTGTTATTTAGAGTAGCAGTTAACAATGAAGCTGCAAATGTTATTTTATCTGTGCTGCAAGTAGAAGAACAAAATATGCGACATTACCTAAAACTATGTTTGTAATACTTGTAATTCAATATATTCTTAATTTTTTGTTTCATAGCTCAAAGTTGAATACATACAAGTTCATATATACATAAACACGAAATAGTGTCAGTGTCAAAAGAAATACTTGTATTAGTGGCCCACTTAATTTTTTTTAATTATATCGATGGTTGAAAGGTAAAAGGTGTAAGCCACAATTTGCCTAAAACGGGTTAAAACATCAAATAAACTTATTGTGATTCTTCTTTTAATTGGAAAAAATGTAACCAAAGTATGGCTGCAATAATTGGTAATTTAACGGTTTTATTTATTGTACGCCACATGAGTTGTAGATTGTGACAAGTAAACGGTTGTAAGTGAGATACATTTCATCAATCAAGTCTGTATGCCATGCGTCTCAGATGTATGATAGTCCTGTGCAGGTTACAACAATTTTAGTTTTTTACACTCTGTCGCTTGTGTGTGTATATAGTAGTTTGTAAAAACTGTTTTTAATTCTATGTTTAACTTATTAATTATTATTTTAACATTTAAAGTGATTATTAAAGATGAATTGGAAATCAAGAGGAAAGAAGTGTGGCATTAGCTACCAATTCTCAAAATAATGAAGGCCAGTAAGAGTTTTATTTTGTATCATAACAAATGGAATATTTTTTCGAATTGTTTATTGATTTTCTTGTTGTAGGACAAAATAAAAGTAATGCTGAGGTTAACACACATGAAGTTAATACAGTGGAATCAAATAATTTGCTTGGTAATAATAATGCTGAAGTCTTTTTTGTTAATGAACAGAATGAAGACCTTACTTTCAATAATGCTGTCGACGAAGTTCTACCTATGAATGACTCAAAAAATTTTATCGATTTTAAAGATATTAAGTTTGGACTGGAAATGATACAGAAGCGGATATGGAGATCTGGGTAGAAAATGTACAAAATGATGTAAAAATAGAAACTGAAAATGAAGAGAACCTTATAAATATAAATAGAGAAAAAAAAAATGATTAAACAAAATAAAGCTGAGTTATAAAAAGCAAGAAAAAAAGGAGAAGTATATATCAGTAACAGTAAGAGCAAAAAGCCAATGAGCCAAAAGAAGCTACTCCCTAACCCGTGCACAGAAAATTGCCCAAACCTTTGTAAGTTAAATGTTGATGAAGAAAGAAGAGCAACACTTTTTAAGGATTACTGGTCTCTTAGTAATGAAGGTAAGAGACATTTTATACTATCTTGTTTACCTGAATAGCCAAAAGCTAGAACTTATGTTAAGGGGCTGTACTTTCAAATATTATCTACCACTTGACAATGTAAAGGTAAAAGTTTGTTTTCAGTTTCTTTTAAAACCTTTGGATGTGTCTCACAAAATTTTGTAGTATACATTTGAAAAGAAATCTGATATACACACACTCCCAAACCAGATATGAGAGGAAAAAAGGCCAATAAAACTAAAGATAAAGATGAGTTAGAGGTTAAAATTTTCATTGAATAATTACCAACTGTTCCATCACATTATTGTAGAAATGATTCCAACAGGCTATTTCTTCCATTTGAGTACAAAAATAAATCTAATATTTATAGAATTTATAAAAAAGGTTTTTGTTAGCAAGAAGAGATAACACCTGTGACAGATAGTGTCTTGAAGAATTTTTAGTGACTACAATATTGGGATCCATATTCCCAAAAAAAGATAAGTGTGCAATATGTGGAGGAAGCAAGAAGAGTGATATGCAATCCGAATGTTTTGCATCTCATAAACATGAAAAAAATTTGTTGCTGGCTCTGTTCAAAGAACATCAAATAAGATTTAAAACAGATTCAAACTTTTTATGTGTTTCCTTTGACCAACAAAAAGTTATGAATACTCTTCATGGTGACAACATGCTTCTATATTATTCAAGGAAATACGCAATGTATAATTTTACATTATACGAAAGTGGGACACATAATGGATTCTGTTATTTATGGGGCGAATCTGATGGCAAGAGGGGATCTAATGAAATATGCTCCAATGTATTTAATTATCTTAAAGATATAGAGATCCGAAGTCCTGAGGTGAAGATAATATGGTTTTTTTTTGTGACAGTTGCTCTGGACAAAATAAAAAGCAAGTTCTATGCATTTCATAATAGAATCAAACTACCGAAAGAAAATTGTGTGGGCCCCACGGAATGTTCAACAATTATTACCAAGAGTAGAATAAATCCAAGGCCCTATCACTCTTATTTACAAAGACTTTCAAAATTGGAAATCAGTGCATGAAGAAAGTATAAGTGAAGCCTGTCAGATTCATATTGTATGAAGGGTGATTATAACGAAAAACAACTCCCACATTTTATTGTACAATACTTATGACACCACTGAAACTCCTAAAACAGTATGTGTCCAACAAGTCAGGCATATTTCTTCTAATATGGTAAAGAATGTTTATACCTCAAGACTGCCCTAAAGTGCTGCAAAAAAAGGATTTAGCTGCATCATGTTCAAAAAAGATGATTCCTTTAAGATATCACAAAGAATACCTTGAAATACCTGCCAGTACATCGAAAATGGATGTTATTGCTAAGTCAACAGATTCAGAAAATTAATTATTTTATAATAATTGATGATTCTTATATTTTGCTGAAGTTTAACAATGAATAAAAATGTTTGATTTTTTTACTATTAAAAATACAAAAGTTTCAAATAACCGAAAGCTGTACTCTATTTAAAAAATGTTGTATTCCACATGGAATCTCGAGAGATGTACCAGTAGTATGTCGTAAGTCAAAAATTACAGTTTTTTTTTGTTAAAAACTGTAATATTTCTGTTTAAACCTCTTGTACAACTAAATCGTAATTTATTTCTAGATTACCATAAAAAATTATTAGGTTCATTCCTAGTAAAACTACTTAAATGGAATGTTATTTCTACTTCCTGAAAAAAGTTATTTTGTGGGTTACAACCTTTTACCTTTCAACCATTGATATTATATTATTTACTTGGCAAATTTATAAACCAATCTACTAAATACAAACCTAAAATTGTATAAACATAATTTTTTATACAACAAAACAGATATTTTAAGAAAATTTGCTAAACTTTGGTGATTTTTGCAAATATGTTTCTGAGATAGATACTTAAACTTAAAACCTTGTAAATGTTTTTTAACCACTGTCCACAATTTTACCATTTCATGGTAATCCATGTGAGGAGTAAGGAAACTATTTCTTTCAATCGCAAAATATATAAAAATGAATAACCAGTAACAGAAGCAAAATTGATATATACATTTTAAATTCACTGAAAACATAAACTAATTTTCATACTTACAAGGTTTTTCATGATCTATCTCCTTTGAGGCTCCTATCTGGAATGTTGCATCTCTCTCTGAGTCTAAATTTTTCATATTATTACTTTTAAATATAGTACCACACCCATGGTTTACTTCTAAATTATATTCAATGAGTTCTTTTTTTATTTCTGTTTTAACTTCTTGCATGGTAATGGCAGGGAATGGGTCACTTATTTTATGATGTAACACGTGTTCTTCTATTTTAATATCGGTCGAACAATCTGATATAGAACCATCTGTGTAATTACTTTCAAACATGCATTCTTCAACTTCTGATTTAATTTGTATGTTAACGTGGTGCTCTAAAGAATCTTCATTTTTGTCAGATATTAAAACATTTTGTTTTCTTTTTATAAAATCTTCACTCAACTCCATTTCGGATTTAAACCAAATAACTGGTTCCAATAGCCAAAAATGTATTTTTACAATTAGTACACTTTTATTGTTTTGTTAGTTGTTTCAATTGAAACAAATTGAACAGAAAAGAAAACGGATGTCGGATACAGAACAATCATGATACTATCAGTCAGTACTATGACGTTGTTCAGTACTATGACAAACAAACACAACACAAACAAAATATGCATGATACTACGAATAACAAGATAGGATCTACCCGTAGCTCAAAATCGGTCGGGTTCGCGCATGCCGTCATTGGAGACTAGAATTTGAATTCTTGTTAAAGTTAAATGAGATTTTTATGCATTCTGTGATGAAATTACTGGACGAAAATAAGTTAAGAGGTTTAATAATTACAATAATCGTACACATAAGGATATCTCCAAACTATTTATTAATGATTATTTATTGATATATACAAAAACTGACATTTCGAACGTGCAAGTCTCCAATGACGTCACAAAAACATGCGCAATAATTTATCTTATAGTCATAGTATCATGAAAATATGCTCCTTGCCGTTCTAATTTTGATCGACTTTGCGCATGGCGTCATGGTGAGACAGCCAGGGGACTTGTTTGTATCATTTTAACGATGCAACATATGGCAACGTTGTTCCATTACTGTAATGAACCCATCGAGCAAAAAGATAAAAGAGGGAATCTAATCGTTATGAAAAGGAGACCAAAAAAGTGGCCTCTGATGGCGGACATATCCGGAAATGCAAAGGCGCTAAATTTAAATTTTCCAACACTTGTTAACAATAGCTGTAAAATATTTTTCAGACAAGAAAGTTTTAATTAAATATTAACGATAATAGTCTAAAAAGTGGCACAATTGGTAAAAAACTTCAATATAAATAAAATTTCATGTGACAGTTGGGACAAACAATAACATAACCTAACTAAATTTGACTTCTTAAACAAGGAAAGAGACTGTCTTTCCTTGTTTAAAGTGGCCTCTCAAGATAGCACTTCCTGTCTAACAATATTTTTGTCCCCACTACCTTTACATTCCCTCTTTTATCTTTTTGCTCGATGAATGAACCCAATGACGTATAATATACCATTTTTCAAAGTAAAACACTTGCACGTCACGATTTATACAAAGTGACGTCACTTGTATTTAAAATTTCCAGAACATCAACCTTATAGTTCAAATTTTCCTAACACAGCTAATAATACGAAACCCATACGGAACTGCTCGATCTTTCATAGGCGTCAACATGATGTAATAATCAGAAAAATATAATCATCATTATATTGTAAATTTTAGAATTATATTGATTAAATAACCAAAAACATTTATTATTATTAATAATATAAATTTTATGAAATAACTCTTGAAGTCTAATATTCCACAAAATAATATTTTTAATTAAATATATTAGACAATTGTACGCAACTGATACGGAAATATATCAAATAATATTGACAGTTCAGCGGATGGTAAAAGTGTATTAAATGTTGCCGCTTTTTTAGAGTAGAAAATTTGTTTATGTTTTGACGTCTTACTCAATTTAATCATAATATAATAAATATTAATAAATTGTATTTATAAATGCATTTTAAATTTAGATTAATAGCTTTAAAAACTAATTATTGTTGTGTATTGTGATTGTGATATGCCAAAACAAATAAAAGTCTGTAGAAAGCTGATAAGCTTTCATATAAGATAGATTATTATGAACAAAAAATAATGGCGGGACTTTTTTGTTATTAAAGCCCTAAAAGAGGTAAGTTTAAAATTTAGAATATATAATTTTGTATTAAAATGGTTTCTTATGTATTTTAAAGTGTTGCAGTAGTGTTAAAACTAAGAGTATTTACTGTTAATATAATAGTTTGACAAATATTTGATATTTTAAAAATTCCTCACTTACTAACTATTCTGATGTTTTGGCAACGCTGTGGGGTTCTGAAGACGTAAATCTTGAATGACGTGCAAGCTTTTTTATCTGAAAAATACTATATATAGACTACGCAGTCCCCTATTCTCGCTATAGAATCGAGTGTCCGAAAGATTTTGGCTCAAGGTTGAAGGTATGTTTATTAGAACAGCGGCGTGTTCAAATATTTATGATTTCTTTTTGTCCCATCTATAAGAGAAATAATTATTTTGATAAAATAGTATGGCATTTTACTAAAATAGTAAGTAAATAACTCTCAACAATTTAAAATAAAATTTGCTTGTCACACAAAATGGAGAAAATGCTTTCATACGTCCATGATGTTTTCAAACACAAGATCAACTTCGTGATGCTTCGTAAGAAATCATGAACTTCGTGTATCTTCGTATCAAAACAATAAACAATAACAAAGGTATTCATGTTTTGGACACTTTTTAAAGCGTTCACCGAGTCTATATATTATACGTCATTGAATGAACCCATCGAGCAATAAGACAAAAGAGGGAATCTAATCCTTATGAAAAGGAGACCAAAAAAGTGGCCTCTGATGGCGGACATATCCGGAAATGCGAATGCGCCAAATTTAAATTTTCCGACACTTATCAACAATAGCTATATAATATTTCGCAGAATGTGTCTAAGACGAGAAAGTTTTAATTAATTATTAATGATAAGAGTCTAAAATGCGACACAATTGTTAAAAAACTTCAATATAAATAAGATTTCATGTGACATTTGGGACAAACCATCGAGCAATAAGACAAAAGAGGGAATGTAAAGGTAGTGGGGGTAAACATATTGATAGACAGGAAGTGCTATTTTGAGAGGCCACTTTAAACAAGGAAAGAGAATCTCTTTCCTTGTTTAAGAAATCAAATTTAGTTGGGTTATGTTATTGTTGATGTTATTGTTTGTCAAAACTGTCACATGAAAGCTTATTTATATTTTCTATTGAAGTTTTTTAACATTTTAGACTATTATCGTTATTAATTAATTAAAACTTTATTGTGTTCTAGTGTTAAAAAAAGGATTTTAATAAATAATTTTAATAAATAAATAGATAAATATATAATATAAAATATTATGTAATATAAAATAAATAAATAGATAAATTAGAACCCCTACACCACTGTATGATTATTGTCAAGTGTCATGAAATTTAAATTTGGCGCATTTGCATTTCCGGATATGTCCGCCATCAGAGGCCACTTTTTTGGTCTCCTTTTCATAACGATTAGATTCCCTCTTTTGTCTTTTTGCTCGATGAATGAACCCATCGAGCAAAAAGACAAAAGAGGGAATGTAATGGTATAAGGGGGCAAACATATTGTTACACAGGAAGTGCGAGGAGCGCCTAAAAGGAGGAATTCGCAGATTGTGCCGTGACGTCACACTTGACAGATATGAACATGGAGTGACGTCACCAATCATGTTGTATTAAATATAATAAGATCGTCGCTATGATAAGGAAAGTTTCTTTACCTCCGATCATGATATAAGGAAACAAGGTATGCTCACTAGGTGGAGTCGTTTTTGCACATTTCTGCGCCGACCAAAATCCACCATCTTTTCAATATGCCACATGCTTGTAGGGATGGTGACCTGATCCCGTACCAGTTACTTTGGAACATGTATTTTATTTATACTTGTGAACTGATCCCTAACACCAATATATTATAATAAACGAGTACGGGTTTCATTGCATTTGTCCTTAATTTTTATCGTGCATTTCTCAACGTTTACAAAGCTTTAGATAAATATCAACAGATGACAATTGGCGTGAAGTAGACAAAACTATCGCCATTTTTTTATGAACTTTTTATACAATCTCTGAATAACAGTAATTTAAGTATTTGAAGTTTTACAGTCATTTAAATAACTATAAAGAAATCTAACAAAATACAAATAATGTTGTCGTTATGTTTAGATATCTATTAAACGAATAATAACAAACTGATTTCCAAACCAGTATTTTTTAACAGGTATATTTGTTTACGCGTATCAGTTTGACCTGATCCACAAAAATACTTGGATCAACCACCTCTACATGCTTGACGTTTGCTGTGTTTTGCATTTTTTAACCTTACTTTGCAATGTATTGGAATTTAAAAGTAAATTTGTTTCGATTTTTTTAAAATTATTTTAGCAAGAGTCTGTTCAGATCATTTTAAATCTGAATTAATTGGATTAATGTAGAATATTAATTTTATTTTATTTAATTTAACTACGATATTTTTTATCAAATTTGTACATATTTGAATTGCCGCCTTCAAAATGGCGGATTTTGGTCGTAAACGCGATTGGCTGTTCAAAATAGATGCGCGTGAGCATACCATGTTTCCTTATATCATGCCTCCGATTAAGTATTTATCTGGCAGATGAAAAAGGTAGCCTTTTAGTTCCGAATAAACTTACCGATAGATAAAATGTCAAATATTTATTTGTCAAATAAAGTACGGAATAAGTTTAACTTACAATATATAACTGTAAGGTATAATATTTGAGAGAGGATCGACAATTGTAATTGGTGTAATGAAGAGTTTTTAACAGGTTTGGATTAAGTAAACCAACAGTGATCAGCAAATATATTGTACAGAGTTGTTAATAAAAGATTAAGACTTGATTGGGTCTGAAACACCTTATGACACTCAACACAAAACACTCCCATTTTCTTTTATTTTTGAAGAAAGAAATCTACAATTAAAATACCAACGAATTGACAGTCAAAAAATAATTTCTTAGGTTATACGGTATACCAAAAATCAAGTGTTTGTGGTGACATCTATTCATTAACCACCCTGTATCCTAAAATAAGTTAATTAAAACTATTACATGCAATATATCAAAGTTCTGGGAATTTTGTGCAGAATCCAAAAATTTTATAATATAACCAATGTTTCATTTAAAATATTAAAGTTGGTATCATAGTAATTGATATATAACATCAGTCAACATCCTGTATATAAAATAACAAATTTTTATTGGAAAAAATGCGCAAAAAGTTTTTTTAAAATACTTTTTAAAAATATTTTAAAAAACCTTTAATTTTGATTTGCTATTATTTACTTTAGAGTTATTCTTATAATTTAACCATTACTAAATTTATCAAACGGGTTAAAGAGATGAATTGAAGTAATTATATTATTAATTTATAAAAAAAATGT